AATGCGCAAAGACATGGCCCAAAACAAACACATGGCGAGTCCTTCATATAATTAACGTGTCTGAACTCGTTGACACTTGCGGAAATACCAAATAAAAGTGGCGCACAAACCGATGGCTACTTTTACACTTGCGGAAACACCAAATAAAAGTGGCGCACAAACCGATGGCTACTTTACGCACTCAGTGAGTACACAGTAAGGGTAGGGTTGGCTACCTCAATGAGAAAGAAGGCATCTACAAAATCCCATGTGAACCTTGTGACACGGTGTACTGTGGCCAAACAGGAAGATCCGTCTCCACACGCATCCGCTAGCACCAATCGGCAGCGAAAAGACATGACCATTTTTTGAAGTGGCTCTGCATTGCCCTGACACAGGACATACATTTGCATGGGACAAAACACGCATCGTTGAAATTTGCCCCTCCGAAAAAGGCCGAGAATTTCTTGAGGCCACGCACTCCGATGATTCATGCATCAATCGGCGTATCGAGTTAGCTGGAGTGTACAACACCTCAAAGAAAGGTGGAAGAGACTGCCGCCGACTAACATGGACCAACATGAACCGCAAATAGCGTCCACACCGGATGACCTGGACTGACCCCGGACTGACTCAAATTACAGTTACCAATTAGCCGTTACGCCATTGCGATTGCTAATCATGTTCACCTCGATGTGACGCAAATTGCAACTTCCGATTAACGTCCACACCAAATGACCATATCAGCACTTTGAAATGATAAATGTTCTTTGTACACTACTCTCAAGTCTGACGACGACCTGGGGATCCAGTGTCGAAAATTTACTGAATAAAATTACTCATTTTCCCAAAGGACGCCCTTCAACAAAAACCTGAATTGTTGCACAGCCTCTTATTTTATATGGTTGGCAGCTAATAGCTACCAATACAAGTGAACATGCGAGTCCCAGGAGTTAATTGAGAAGAAGACGCCTCGATCGCTGGTACAATACTTTTAAAAGTATTGTTCCTGCGATCGCGATGTACGGAAGTATATTGATTATCTTAACACAAGCAGAATGTACATAGGACGGTGAAAAAAAACATTTTTTTTCTGTTTACTTAGAGAATTAGGCATTAATTTTTGAGTACATTATTTACAAAGTGACATTCGGTACGGTGCGCAGCGAAACCACATTGGTGGAAACTGTAGGTCCTTCTAAGGAAGGAACACAAAATATGACACTTGGAGCGACCTTTTTAGGGAGTATTTGTGGCTTTTTGGAGCAAATTCTTTTCAAATTCCCGATGCGTCTGAAGGATTAGCCTAGTGACGCACTCTCTGCCCCACAATTTACGCTTGTCATTATTTTCCATTTAAGGTTCATGTAAACCATTCAGGTCGTTCTTTTGCGTCAGATGGGTGAGGGGAGAGAGTGCAGTTGATGCTGCGGAAAGTCGACCGTCACCTTAATCCTAATTAAGGCTCAAGTCACTGCAACAACCTGTTTGGAGGATAAGTTTAGCATAATCAAAATTTATAGCCGAATTGTCGCGTGCAAAACCGGGAGTTATTGGGCGCTCAATCGTCATAAAGCTTTATCAAGTGACTTCCAATGGCTACATCAGATTCCAATCACCTTTGCTTATACCTTACCACTCAAATATTAGTACAATATATAAAATGCGATATTTTTATGCTGATCTAATTCCGGAATATGTTGTGACCTTATTTGGACGGGAGACGTTCTGTAAATTTTAAACTATAACCGTATACGGTAGTAATTCTACAGTTAACTTGAAAACGGTAAATGGCACTACCTTGCGAGGTAAAGGCATAACAAAAGTTGAGCCAATCTTGCAGTAAGACGGTAATCTGGGGCTGCGCGTTATCTGTGAAAAGTTATACCCAGTGACTACAGAAGATAATTCGCCTATGGCTCGGACAGGCGAAACCTTAGATGCCATGTTGGGTAATCGGGCTTACCTGCCAGAACAAGCCACGTCTAGCCAAGCGTAACTACGCGTGGCACGACGGCTCGATGGCTTGGCAAACCAGAGGGGTTATGGTGTGGTATTAAGATTAATCGCGCTATTCGGCCTCGCCATGGTTAAAATTTTCATATAGGGCTTTGCCATAGTCTGGTTTCGTAGTCACTAGCAGTTCTCACTGGGTTATCGCAGTACGTGTAGCGTATAGAACTCCTCTTAGCGTCAATTGCTGTGACGCATAAACGGATAAATATGACGGCAGCGACGCATAAAAGAAGAAAGTTTACCTTCAGCGACTCCAACGAGGCATAAAAAGGAAGTGAAGCGAAATGTAAGAAATAAAACTTTTATTGAGTAAATTAAATCAAAAGTTTCTTGTACAAATTTGTATGAAACTACATCCGTATCCTTATCGTTTCCAAATCAAAGAAGAGGCCTCACTTCCACTGGCCGTTGGTAGTACTTGCAGAGGAAGAAAACACTATAAGACAAAAATACTGAGGGAGGAAAAAAGAAATATTTAATGATACACAGTAGTTTAAGTATACAAGGTTAATATAAACAGTAATTTTACAAGTTAACTTACTGCTTCCTTGGCCGGGGATAATTGTGGGCATGCAGAGTTGTTGGTGTTGATACTTGTAGCATAAATGCATGTGAACGGTAATTCGATGACACATTTTGTACCTCACGTGCCGGCGTTTCGACCGCCCGCCGTACCGGTTCTTCGATCCATAGAACTAATTAATGGCCGTCTGTCGTACCACAGCCATACTGCAGTTTCTGTACTAGCCATTCAGTCCAATGCAAGCTGTGCGGGTTAATAAATATAAATAAGACCTACATTTGAGGATGGGAAACAAAGGACAAGCAATGAATGAGCCCTTGTCTTTTGATCCCCCAGCCCAGTAGAAGGTATGACAAAGCGGGAGCCTAGTAGAACGTTTAGCAGATTTCGAATAAATTCTGCCTCAGTTCGACCGCCGATCACGACCACACGCTTGATCTGAAAATAGTGAAATAAATATGCACGTGCCACCTCGTCTGCTAACCCTTCCTCGTTCCTTAGTCGAAAAATATAATCGTGATAGCCTTGAGAATGAGAAGACAATGAGAAGTTCAGGGATGAAGAACTGACAGAGGCAACGATTGTATTCTTCTCCAATGTACTGGCGAAATACGCCAGTGT